CCCAAGTGCTGGGATTAAAGGCATGTGCCACCACTGCCTGGTCCATATTTTATTTTTAATTATACTTAATTGGACACGGGAGTGGGGGTGGATGTATACACAGCACAATGTATTAGTAGAGGCCAAAGGACAAGCCAGGTAGCTCCTGGTGATAACAGACTCAATAGTAACCCCCCAAACAACTATCCTTTACTCTCTGGAAATAGAGGGCATATGAAAAAGCAAATCAGAATAACCCCTCCAGAAGACCATAATTCCTTCATAATCAAATCCAAAGATGAACAGTTAAAATTCCAGAACCGAATTCAGAAGCCTACTTCGAGCCATTCCTATAACCCAGCTGTGGTGACACACCTGCAGTCCCAGTGCTTGGGATCCAGAGGCAAGAGATTCAAAAGTTCAAGGACATCCTTGGCTATATAGTGAGCTTGAGGTCAACCTGGGCTACACGAGGCCCCGTCTCAGAAAACAAAAAAAAGCAAAACATCAAACCCGACGAAACAGCTAAGCCGTACACACCTTTGATCCCAGGGTTGGGGAGGCAGAGACAGGCAGAGTTCCAGGAGTTTCAGGACAGCCAGGGCTACATGGAAAGACCCTGTATCAAAACCAAAATACAGGACACCTGAACTATTTGTTACATGTCAATGGTGTGACATAAATGACACTGTTGTACTACAAAGTCTTTTTAAAAACATTTAGTTTTTTAAAAATTCTTATGTATAGGCATGTTGTTGCTTGTATACATGTATGTTCACCATGTGCATGCCTGGTGCCCAGGGGGACAGAAGAGGGCATCAGATCCTTTGGGACTAGAGTTACAGATGTTTGTGAGCAACAAGCAAAGCAGGGCTCCTCCCCAAGCTCTGCAGAGCGGGCTTAACCACTGAGCCGTCTTTCTGGCCCTACAAAGTATGTTTAATAATTGATCTTACAGCTTTTAAAATATTGATGGGCTGGTGAGATGGCTCAGTGGTTAAGAGCACTGACTGCACTTCCAGAGGTCACGAGTTCAAATCCTAGCAACCACGTGGTGGCTAACAACCATCTGCAATGATATCTGATGCCCTCTTGTGGGGTGTCTGAAGACAGCTACAGTATACTTACATATAATAAATAAATAAAAAATTAAAAAAAATAAAATAAAATATTGCATAGCTTGAAAAGTCTCCCCCAAGGTCCCTGGAGCCATGATTTTTTTTTTCTTCTTTCTGAATTTGACGGTGCTCAAGTATGCAACTGGAGTCATGTGATTTGCCTTTCTGTGACTGTCTTAGTTTGGTTAGCATAATGTACCTAAGAGCCATCCACACTGCAGGCAGCAACAGATTGAATGACACTTTGGAGTATGGGTGACCACATTCGGTTTCTTACCTAGTTGTCTGGTGTTGGAAGGAAGCCAAAAAGCTTGACTTAGCACAACCCTTCTGCCACGCCCGCTGCTGGGAGGAGCCTCGTCCAAAGCTCCTCTGACTGGGACTGTCACTTGACTTCTTGTTGCAACAAAGGTCTGGCTTCCTACTTTGCTCCTACAGCCTGGCCTGAGCCGACCAGTTCCTGGTGCTTCTGTTTGAGCCCCTCTGATACTCTGGGCTTGGTTATTTGATTGAGGCCCTGGGGGATGTTCCTTTAGGGAGGCTGAATAGAGTCCTGACACTGTTTCCAGAATTTAGCTGCTGTGGGAAAACCTGACATTTATCCATCACACTGTCAGAAAGCAGAATGTTGCCAGGTACCTTTGTTGGTGAGTGATAAACGTGCTGGAACTATGGCAACAAAGTCCTCCACACTGGGTGGCCTAAAACCAGCTGGTCTTACTGGAGGCCACACCTGGAAATCCAGAGTTGGGCAGAGCTCCCCTCCCTGGGATACTGGGAAAGTCTCCTCTGCTTCTTCCCATTCCGTCCGACTTCCCTCATCTTCCCTCGTCTCTGATCTTCCCTTTCCTCTTTAATAAAAGCAGATGCATTTGCTGGGATGCTCTCCCTGCTCTCAGGCTCCACTCCTGGTTTTTTTGTTTTTGTTTTTGTTTTTGTTTTTTTTGTTTTTGTTTTTGTTTTTTTTTTTTAGGACCGTAAGGAGCAGCTAACTCATGAATAAGTACCCGACTCTCCTTTTAGACATGGTGGAGATGATGCTGATGCAGAACGCACAGATGCACCAGATCCTCATGCAGAACATGATGCTCAAAGCCCTGCCACCCGGGTCCACAGGGCCGCGTGCTGCTACCCTCCAGGTAGGTTTGGCGTGCTGAAATGTAGCCAATGGCTGGGGAGAGGGTGGGGAGGTGGGGAAGTCAGGGGCGGGGCGGGGCTGGGCGGGGCTTTGTTCTGGAGAACCTGTGCAAGGATGTCTCTGGTTTGCGGTGAAGGCAATGTTCGCCAGTCCTCTGCATGAGGAACAGGTAACGGAGGTGGGGCCCAGAGAGCTCTAAGCCCAGGTAGGACCCAACACATTCTGCTGCCTTTCCCACCACTTTGGGCCCAGGGAAAGGATGCTGAAGTCCTGATCTGGCTGTGTAAACTCTTGTCAGGACCAACGATGGGTGCACCACGGAGTCCCGAGAGCTGAAAAGCAGAAGCCACCCCCGGTTCACCACCACCACCACTACGCGCCCACAACCCAGCTGCAGGCTGCCTCCACGGCTGGCGCCCCTTCAGGTTATGCTGGGTGGCCTCCAGTGGTTGCAGCCTCTGCACTCCCACAGGCAGCCAGCTTCTTGCCCACCGTGAGCCACCTGACCGAGCCGTCGACCTCCCATCCTAGCTATCCTTAGCGCGCAAGTGTGGAGGGAGAAAGCTAGTTTCTTGCAGCAGGTAAGCGGAAAGATGGGCCTGGTCCCCTCTCTTTGCCACACGTCGAAGAGCACATGTCTACCCTGCGGTCAGGCCAATGCGCCGTGGCTAATTTGAAGGAGCCAGAAAAAATTTCAGTCCACCATGGGGTTGCAGGTTGCAGGTTGCAGGTGTCAGCCCCAGTCACCAGGCCACGTGGATCTGTCACCCTCTGGGAAAGTTATATGTTAGGGTTTATTTGACAGCCCAGTAGGACTGGTCTCATAGGGTGTCCATTTCCAAGAGCTGCACTGAAAAAAAAAAAGTACTGCTTTTCCAGGTATGTGGGACCACTCATGTATCTCAGGGAGCATCATGGCCTTGCCAACCTCAGTTACTCTCCAGGGCCCGCTGGGAATGCTAGATGAATGAACCGCTCACCCAGGTGGAATACAAACATGTTATATGAAAGACTAAAGAAAAAACAACTCAAGATCAGAATAGATCACTACAGCTACATACACATTTAGACATAGCTATGGAAGGCTGGAATAAGTGTCAAACCGTGGCTGGAGATATAGCTCTGTGGTAGACAATTTGTTGAACACGTGTGAGGCTCTGTGCTATACTCTTGATGGGCTACACACACCCACACATGAAGAGGGGAAGTCCAATATTATAGCTGGGGAAGACATGTTTGTTGGTCATACTTGGAATGATAATTTCATTTTAATGTGAAAGAAGCAAGCTGAAGAATTTGTGATGTGACTTCAGTTAAAATATACAGGGCCAACAGGATTGTTCAGCAGGTCAAGGTGCTAGCCATCAAGTCTGATAACTGAGTTTTATTCTCAGGACATGGGGGCATGGGTGGTGGTGGTGGGGTGACCAACTTCTGCAGGTTGGCCTCTGGTCTCTACTTTTGCACAGGGTGTGCATAGACCCCAGCCCCCCGTGGCTGGTTAAATGTAATTAAAAGTAAAATAAGGAACTGGGCATGGTGGTGCACAGCACATCTTTAGTCCCAGCATTCTGGAGGCAGAGGCTGGCAGGCCTCTAGTTCAAGGCCAGCCTGGTCTACATAGTTAGTTCCAGGCCAGCCAGAGTTGCACAGAGGAACCCTGTCTCAGAAAGAGAGAGAGAGAGAGAGAGAGAGAGAGAGAGAGAGAGAGAGAGAGA